CTGCCATGGAGCAGGAGATGCCATCTCGGAGGTCCACCGGCACTTACGTCGACGCAGTTCCCCCACCTGGGTTGAACGTAGTCGATGGTCGGTGGCTCTTCAAGGTGAAGCGCCCGCCAGGAGAGCCGCCTATCTTCAAGGCGCGCTACGTGGCCAGAGGCTTCAGTCAGCGCAAAAATGTGGATTTCTTCCAGACCTTCGCCCCGACGCCGAAGATGACAACTCTTCGGCCGCTGCTACACGTAGCAGCACAGCGCGACTACGAGCTTCACTTCCTGGACTTCTCTACTGCCTTTCTTCAGGGAAGCCTACACGAGCAGGTCTACCTGCGTCGACCACAGGGCTCCGCTGGTACCTTCCCCCCTGGGACCCAGTGGCTTCTCAGGCGCCCGGTCTACGGCCTGCGCCAGGCTCCCCGCGAGTGGCACGACACGCTGCGTGCCACGCTAGCAGACCTGCAGTTCTTTCCGTCGTCCTCTGACCCCTCGCTTTGTGTGCGGTCCGGCCAGACTCCGTTCTACATCCTTGTCTACGTAGACGACCTGGTCTTTGCTACTGGTGACAGGGACGCACTGTCCTCAGTGAAGGCCGAGATGCTGAAGAGACACACCTGCACTGACCTTGGAGAGCTGCGTCGCTATCTTGGCCTGCAGATCTCTAGGGACAGAGCAGCACGCACCATTACTCTGACACAGTCACACTTGGTGCGTCAGGTCCTCCAGAGGTTCGGCCTTCAGTTCTCCTCTACACAGCCCACACCTCTACCCGTAGACCACGGGCTCTCCGCTCCCGTTCCTGAGGAGCCAGTAGAGCCTAGCGACCCCTACGCAGAGCTGGTGGGTTGCCTCATGTACCTGATGACTTCCACTCGCCCAGATCTCGCATACCCTCTCAGCATCCTGGCTCGCTTTGTGGCCACTGGCAGACACCGACCACAGCACTGGTCGGCCGCTAAGAGGGTTTTGCGATATCTAGCAAGTACATCCGGCATGGGGTTAGTGTTAGGAGGACGCAGGCCAGTGGTCCTCACTGGGCACACAGACGCGTCTAGGGCAGACGACTCTGAGACGCTCAGGTCGTCGCAGGGTTACTGCTTTAGCCTTGGTTCGGGTGCTATCTCTTGGAGATCCACTCGCTCGTCGTCTGTTGCCCAGTCCAGCTGTGAGGCTGAGATCTACGCTGGTGCCATGGCGGCACAGCACAGTTGTCACAGCTGTCCACACTACCTCTGCCTGCCCCCCAAAGGCGAGGGAGGGGGGAAGCAGTTAGCAGGTGGTGCTGGTAGCAGGTGGTGCTGGAGCGGGTGGTGCTGGTAGCAGGCGTTGCTGGTAGCAGGCGTTGCTGGTAGCAGGTGGTGCTGGTAGCAGGTGGTGCTGGTAGCAGGCGTTGCTGGTAGCAGGTGCTGCTGGCAGCAGGTGGTGCTGGTAGCAGGCGTTGCTGGTAGCAGGTGGTGCTGGTAGCAGGTGGTGCTGGTAGGAGGTGTTTCTCCATCTCCTCTTCTCCTCCCTCTGTGCACAGTTGTTGCAGCTGCCCCTCCCCCTCCTCCTCCCCTTCCTCTGTGCACAGTTATCGCAGCCGCCCATTCTCCCATTGCCTGCCCCCTAAAAGCGGGAAAGCAGGGAAGCAGGAAGCAGGTGCTGTTGGCAGCAGGTGTTGCTGGCAGCAGGTGCTGCTGGCAACAGGTGTTGCTGGTAGCAGGTGGTACTGGTAGCAGGTGGTGCTGGCAGCAAGTGGTGCTGGTAGCAGGTGGTGCTGGCAGCAGGTGGTGCTGGTAGCAGGTGCTGTTGGCAGCAAGTGTTGCTGGTAGCAGGTGCTGCTGGTAGCAGGTGCCGCTGGTAGCAGGTGCTGCCGGCAGCAGGTGTTGCTGGCAGCAGGTGCTGCTGGCAGCAGGTGTTGCTGGTAGCAGGCGGTGCTGGTAGCAGGTAAAGCTGACGTTAGCTCTACCACCAGCCAAGACTCAAGATTGTCCTGCAAAGGAACGAAGAGAGGCAGGGAATATTAGTAGCTGGAGATCAGTAGCACAGAGTGCACAAATGCTGTTAAACAAGATGCTCGGCTGATCAAGGGTCATGATAAAATGCGTCAGTCGAGAATGGCAAAGCATAACGAAAAACACAGAGACAAGAAAGCGCAAAACGGAAAGCACCATTGGCGGAGTCGACACCCACAAGTCACAAACCCCAAAAATTTCACGTACCAACTGTTTACCGGGGTGGGGGGGGGCTTAGCTGCCCTACCAAGGGGATAGACTCACAGCCGCCGAGCCGCCGAGCCACCGAGCCGCCGAGCCCTGCCGAGCCGGAATACTTACCACCGGCGTACGTACCAAGGGGTTAACGGGGAAAAATACTTCTTGCTGGAGAAGGTGGTCTGTGACTCGTGGGTGCCGCTACAACCAATGGCCTGAGTTTTAGAGCGAATAATAAATAAACGACAGGGTGAGAGCGGGTGAGGAAGGTGGGAGATGGGGGGAGTTGGGAGGGGGGGTCACGAGGGGAGGGGAGGGGAGTTGGGAACTTATCTGGGTTGGTTGTGGTGTGCAGGATATCGTTGATTGGCGTTGACTGCACGAACCTGGCTGCACCAACCCGGCTGCACCAACCAAAGCAGCCGCTGCTTTCGCTTTTGCGGCCTAGATCGTCGAGACTCGAACCCTCGACAGGGAGGGTCGAAACGCCGCGACGAGCTCTAATCCGCGACGGTCAATCCGCGATGCTCCCTGCGACGGTCTCTGCGACGGTCTCTTCAATCCGCGACGGTCAATAGGCGACGCTCGCTGCGACGGTCTCCGCAATGGTCTCTTCAATCCGCGACGGTCAATTGGCGACGCTCGCTGCGACGGTCTCCGCAACGGTCTCTTTAATCCGCGATGGTCAAACGGCGACGCTCGCTGCGACGGTCTCCGCAACGGTCTCTTCAATCCGCGACGGTCAATCGGCGACGCTCGCTGCGACGGTCTCCACAACGGTCTCTTCAATCCGCGATGGTCAATCGGCGACGCTCGCTGCGACGGTCTCCGCAACGGTCTCTTCAATCCGCGATGGTCAATCGGCGACGCTCGCTGCGACGGTCTCTTCAATCCGCCACGGTCAATCGGCGACGCTCTCTGCGACGCTCGCTGCAACGGTCGCTTCAATCCGCCACGGTCAATCGGCGACGCTCTCTGCGACGCTCGCTGCAACGGTCTCTTCCATCCCTGCAGTTAAGAAGATCCGTCATAATCAGAATTATAGAAAGGAGCATCAAAGAGAGACTTGAAAACGAGAAACCCGTCCCTCGAGAATCATGAGGTTCAGGGAACGACTTTACCTTCACAACGACGCCATCAGATTGAAAGCCGTGACGAAAACGACGTCACAAGTAACCACGGGCTGTGTAGCGTCTTAAACGAGATGCCTTGAAGAATCGACGATGTTGCAAAGAAGAAGCTTCTCCCAGCGACGTCTCAATCCGCCATGATGTCTTCAATCCACGATGATCAGAGACTATTCCAACCGCCATAATGCCTTCCGCGATGATAAGAAGACTCATGACGTCTTCAACCCGCTATGTTAAGAATACTCTTCCATCCGCCGTGTCTTCAATCTCACGTCGATGATCACTTCAATCCGCGATGGTAAGAGGGCTCTAGTTGCCTAGACAACCGCGTTTACTAAGAATTTAATATCCTTGGATTACGATTTATAAAGGAGACCGTCCAGTAAAGGCTCTAACGTTTCTAATATGACTAAGCTACTAGAGACCCGACGGACGCGATGAAGAGCATACGAACGGAGGAAGCCATGGGCTCGGAGATACCGAGTAGTGCCTGAGGAAACTCTCTGATTTGGATGGAATTGAAGAAAGGATTTGAGACTGATTGCCCAGGTCGAAAGATTTGGCAACGCAAGGCAGGGAGGCGAGGCACGGAAACGGAAGGGAAAGTTGAGTTGCCATCAGTATTCGACAGGCCCAAGGCGGAAGCCGCTCGGCGGTCTGTCGATGGATTGCGCTGACAGGCGGAGAGCCGCAGAAAGTCTGCCAGCGAGTTGTGCCGAAGGGGGAAAACCGCGGAAGGCGTTGGAGCCAGCCGCGCGAATTGAGTTGTTGGCGAGAGGACTGGATTGTTCGCCAACAAAAATGACACAGCTCGAAGCTCTGGAATAAATTCTGCGAACCATGTAACCGTGTGGCTGACACCAGTGCTTCCGACTTCCGCTGCACAGGTCCTGGGCAATATTTGAGTTTTTGCGAGGGAAACCCCCACCTCCTGAAGGCAACGCGCTCTTCCGCGATACCGGACCTGCGCACATTCAGGTTAGTTTGGGTGGGAGCTCCCCCCCGATGATCTTCTAGTGTTCAAACCGACACAATAACAGTTCGGCTTGATCCGACGGCTACACATCCATGCAGCTTTCCTGGCTCAAGAGCACCGCTGGATGAAAGTGTGTTTTCGGCCGATTTTCCACGCCAGATTCTCCGCCAGTCACAGGAGAGCGGCAGTGATATGGTTGGGTTGGGTAGATGATGACGACAACCAATCACACAACTGTTTGTGCTGATGGGCGCCGCCGTTCACATTCACATGCTTCCTTCCTTGCTTGCGGCAGGTCACAGATTCAAAATCCATAATGAAGTCGGCCGTGCGGCGCTGCTGTCAGCCCCGTTTGCGTTTCTCGACACTGTTATAAACTGCTGATAGCCCGTAGTGTTGATGTTTATGATTCAAACAAGAATGATAATTCTGGGTGAAGTGAGACCTTGGTGAGGGTGGCGAGGCGAGTTCGTTTCAAGCTGGATCATTTCAAGTTCAAACAATGGGAGGATTTTTCCTGCTTACACACTGATATATTGAGGTAAGAGCGTGTTACATTTTGTCCGCGAGAGTTTTTACGCGGTTAAGCGTGTTTTTGGAAGTTTTACTAAGGTGTAGCGCGGTTAGCGTACAGCAGCTGGTTGTGCCATTGGCGATGGGGCCAGAACTCACACTGGTTCTTGGTGCGTTGTGTACCACGGCATTCCAAACGAGCAGCCACATCTCTTCATTCTCCTTCCGCGTCGCCGGCGCGACCAGCCGCGTGCGACGAACATCGCGACGCGTTCGTCCTTTTCCCGTTGGCGAGTCGACGCGCTACATTGCCGCTTAGGGTCGAGTCTAGCGCCAGGACACTCCAGCATTCGCGTCGGGTGCAGCATATTCCGCGCTCCACGGTCCGCGCAGCCTGGTGCTGCGTCGTCCGCGCGCCAGTTGACGTAACGCGCGCCAGTAACGACAGACGCCCGCCGTGCCTCAGTCTGACCAATCGTCAATATGCCGGGCCTCAATCTAACCGGTCTCTCCCGCGCGTCCTCCAGACGCCCCTCCGTGAGTCGCTCGCCCCGATCCCCGCTCCCCCGCCCTCCCTCCCGCCGGGCTTCTCTCCCGCGTTCCATCCGCGCCTCTCGCTCCGATCCCCGCTTTCCCCCCTCCCTCCTTCCGCGCCTCTCGCTCCGCCTCTCCGTTCCGCCGTCTCCGCTTCAGGGACGCGCCTCTTCCCGCATGCTACAGTCTCCTTGTATGCTACAGTCTCCCCGTATGCTACAGTCTCACCGCATGCTACAGTCTCCCCGTATGCTACAGTCTCCCCGCATGCTACTGTCTCCCCGTATGCTACAGTCTCCCCGCATGCTACAATTCCCCGCATGTCGCATTCCCTCACCTGTCCCCCAATCCCCTTTCCTCTCCCCCTAACCACTTCTCTCCTCTCTCTCCTCTCTCTCCTCTCTCTCCTCACCTCGCCTCTCCTCTCCCCCTCCGCCCCTGCACCTCCCCCCAGGCGCGGAGGCGCAAGGCGGGGGCGCGGGAGGGCGGGGTGGTGCTGCCGGTGCGGGCGCTGGTGGCGCTGTGTGTGGCGTGCATGGTGTTCGTGCTGCTGGCCGTGCTGGCTGTGCTACTGTGGGTACGTGCTGCTGTGGGTACTTGCTGTGCTCTTGTTGGCTAGTGGCACTGTGTGTGCGTGGATAAGTATTCGTGCTGCTAGCCGTGCCCCTGTTGGCTACGAGTATGTAGTGTATCTGCGCCCCTGTCCTCAAACCCCCCCCATCCCCTCTCTCCTCAACCCTCTATCCTCCCGCCTTTCCCGTCTCTCCCCCGCTCCCCCCCCCTTTCCCCGGCCACAGGTTGTATCCCTCTCGTGGCGGCATCAGCAGCTGGCCACCACTCTTGCACACTCCAATGCTGCTGCTGCTGCTGCTGCTGCTGGCGCGGGGAGTGGGTTGAGCGCAGGAGCGGCTGTAGGTGATGGTGGTGGTGGTGGGAGGGCGATGGATAAAGAGATGAACCCTGCAGACCCCATGCACCACCATGGTACGACCCATGCACCACCATGGTACGACCCATGCACCACCATGGTACGACCCATGCACCACCATGGTACAACCCATGCACCGCCATGGCACAACCCATGCAACCCCATGGTATGAATCGTCCAGTCTTTGTTTGCAGTCTGTTTTGTCGTGTAAAGCCAATCGCCAGACGCTTGATCTGTGCTCTGTCTCTGCGCCCTCTCTGTTGCCCGCAGCTGCTCCCCCGGCATCCCCTCCTCCTCCAACCAAGGTCAGTCCACCCATGCCATGGCAGCCATGCCATGCCATGCCATGCACGCATCAGTGGTACATATGATTGCATGCCTGGAAGCCACATGCACCGAAATGTTCAATTGTTGTATGATTCATGCCTGCAAGCCATGAGGAAGGTCCCCCCCATGTTGCATTCGGAGCTGTGCATTAGGAGCTCCCGCCATGTTTCATGAGAAATATTCTGCTATGCTTACCTGCGCATTACGAGCTCCCCCCCATGATCCAGCTTCCTCCCACTGTTCTCTCCACTCTGTCTTTCTCGAAGCCAACCTGCCCTCCTCTCTCCCCAAACCCCATCCCCTCCAGTCCGTGCGCAGGCGCCGCAAGGCCAAGCCCACTGACCTGATAAACCAGCAGCGGTGGCAGCAGTTCTACCGTAACATCGTGCTGATCGTCAACTACAAGCGCCCGCAGCAGATGGCCGTGACCCTGGACCTCCTGCACTCGCTGTACGGCGCGTTCTTCCAGCGCATTCTTGCCGTGTCCGAGCATGGGGACGCCGACCTTGGCGTGATGGAGGTACGTGTGTGTGGGGATGGGGAGGTATGTGTGTGTGGGGATGGGGAGGTATGTGTGTGTGGGGGTGGGGAGGTATGTGTGTGGAACGGGAGAAGAGGAGAAGAGAAGGGAGGGAGGGGAGAGTGTGATCCCGGCACTTGTACAAGTGCCGGGAGAAGGTGGGGGCCACCCTGGACATCCTGCACTCGCTCTACAGGGACGTGGAGAGGGGGCGAGGGCGAATGGAGGGGATGGGCGTAGAGGGCAGTCTTGCAGAATACGCACACGGGCATACCAACCTAGGCGTGCTGGAGGTGCTTCACTGCTTGTCACCACTCGTCACATCGCTCATTATTCATCCCTCTCTCCTGCCTTCAGCCCTCGCCTGCTCTCTCCTCTCCTCCCCCACATCTCTCTCTCTCCACTCGCCCCTCCCACAGTCCCCGGTGAAGGAGACGGGGCAGGGCCATGACCTCCCGCCCGGCTCGCTGCACTACAGTGTGCTGCCGAAGCTGCTGACTTGGCACCCCATGGCGGAGGGCTTTCTATGGATGGATGACGACACCGTGCTCAACTACTGGAGCATGAGCCGGGATAACAAGGTGTTGAAACAAGGTGTTGTAACAAGGTGTTGTAACAAGGTGTGTAACAAGGTGTGTAACAAGGTGTTGTAACAAGGTGTTGTAACAAGGTGAGGTAATGTGTTGGTAACATTGTACCATTGAGTGCGACCTGTGCTGTGCATTCACCTGCGTCCTGTGAATGGATGATGACGACCTACTGCAGCATGAACCATGGCCACAGTGTGATACGGTACACATGTGGAAGCATCGAGACATCAAGTAACAGCAGAACATGGTATCATGTGTCCTGTGGAAGCGTTCACCTGCATCCTGTGGAGGATGACAACACTGTGCTCCATTACTATCGTGATCACAAGGTAACTTGGTAACAGCATAACATGGTATCATGGTGTCATTTACTTTTTCCCCACGCACTCACCTGGATGGTGTCACCGCCCGCCACCGGCCATCGCCGCCCTTTCCCGCCCTTCATTGCCTGTCACCGCCCGTCACCGCCCACCGCCCACCGCCTGTCACACCATCCTTGTCTCCCTCCGCCCTCCCAGATCCTCTTCCCCGCCCCAGTCGCGCATCGGGTTCCTTATGTCTTTCCCCTCTCCAGTCTGCGTGCCATGCACACCTTTCCCCCTTATCTCTTTCCCCTCTCCAGTCTGCGTGCCATGCACACCTTTCCCCCTTATCTCTTTCCCCTCTCTCCCCCCTCTCTCCCCCCTCCATCTCCCCTCAGTCGCTTATCTGGTTCCTGGGCAAATTCACACCCTCCCCCCTGTCCCAAACCTCCCCCCCCTCCCCCGCAGTCGCGCATCTGGTTCCTGGGCCCCATGCACAAGTCGTGGCGCGTGGCCAGCCTGGACCCCAAGGGCGGGGTGGCGGGGGGATGGGGCGGGGAGGGGGGGGAAGGGGGGGAGCGAGGGGAGGAGGCGGCAGTAAAGTACATGGAGGATGCGAGTGAGAGGATAGAGGAGAGTGGGGAGGCGCTGCAGCTGCTCAAGCAGGCTGTGGCTCAGGTGGGAACCCCTCGTGTCATGCCATTCCATGCCACACCGTGCCGGATCATGCCACACCGTGCCGGATCATGCCACACCGTGCCGGATCATGCCACACCGTGCCAGATCATGCCACACCGTGCCAGATCATGCCACACCGTGCCAGATCATGCCACACCGTGCCAGATCATGCCACACCGTGCCAGATCATGCCACACTGTGCCAGATCATGCCACACCGTGCCAGATCATGCCACACTGTGCCAGATCATGCCACACCGTGCCAGATCATGCCACACTGTGCCAGATCATGCCACACCGTGCCAGATCATGCCACACCGTGCCAGATCATGCCACACCGTGCCGGATCATGCCACACCGTGCCAGATCATGCCACACCGTGCCAGATCATGCCACACCATGCCAGATCATGCCACACCGTGCCAGATCATGCCACACCGTGCCAGATCATGCCACACCGTGCCAGATTATGCCACACCGTGCCGGATCATGCCACACCGTGCCGGATCATGCCACACCGTGCCAGATCATGCCACACCGTGCCAGATCATGCCACACCGTGCCGGATCATGCCACACCGTGCCAGATCATACCACACCGTGCCAGATCATGCCACACCGTGCCGGATCATGCCACACCGCGCCGTATCATGGCATATCGTGCCATATCTTTCCATATCCTCCCATATCCTGCCACATCACCATACCATCACTCCCACCACTGGCGCCATTCGACACCACCAGTCCATTGGATCTCTGTTTTTTGTCGAAATGCCTCAGATCGTCCACACTTCCCCTAATCTCCTCCCCCCACCCCCCCCACCCTTCTCTTTTCCACTATGGCTCTCGCGCCCCAACACCCATGCAGGCGCTCTCTCACCTTCCCCCAGCGCACCTGCAGCAGTACCAGCAGTCCATCGCCCCCAAGTCAAATATCTTCCTCCGGGCGGCATCAGACATCTTTTACATCCCGCAGCGCCATGCGCCTGCCATGCGCGTCCTCGTCCCCATCTTCGCCGACCATCGCATCGTGGCTGATGTATGCCGCCCACTGTTCTTCCCCCCTTGTCTTATGCCCCTATCACTACATGTTGTTCGCCCTCCTATCATATTGCCTAGGTAGATCCCCTCCTTCACTTCCTGTTCCACCTTCCTCATTTTGCTTCTTTCATTTGCTTGCTGCATACACCATGACAGGTGGCTATACCCATGATGCTACATGCCTTGGAGCATCCACGAGAATGGGACGGTCACGCATTGACGGATGTAATTTACCTCACAGGCACCGACGTCAACACACCTGCTAAATTCTACTCCCCCCGTGTCACTGCCATGCATCCGTGGGGTTTATCAGCGCACCATCATGGCTCCCACATTATTAAGGCAATGTCCCAAGGGGACCCTTTGCTGGAGTCTACAATTGATGGAGAAAGGGTAGGAAATTTGTAGTGTTTTCGACGTGGTCACTGTTCTTCATGTATTGATTTCATAATTTCATTCAGCTGCAAGCGCAGGTTTGCCAGCAGTACGAGCCGCATGTCACTCGGGCACTGCCCACCATTTGCGAGTCGCGAATTACGAGCCGCGTTTTCGAATCTCGACTCCCCCACTTGCGCCCTCTCGCCTGCAACACTCCTTTCATCACTCCCCAACTTGCTCCTTCTGACTCCGCCTTCGCTGAATCTTTTATTCAATCCTCGTCTCCCCATATCTGCGGCTGGTGCTGCTTTTCCCAACTTTCACTTGCCTTTCTCTCACTGCCTACAGGCTATGCTTAGTTACACAGCTACTTGCGGTGTCATACGATTGTCTCCTTCCTTACACGTTTCCGTCCCACTCCCGCTTTCAAACAGGGGCCCCACTCGCGTAGTTGAGTTGTTTCTGAGTTCATGCTGCACGCGACAAACCAGCCAGCACTCCCTTTTTGTGTCTCGAAACACGACGTCTTCACCCGTCGACGGCGCATTTTCCCCGTTACAGAGCTCGCTCCGCTGTCAGCGAGTCTACGCATGAGATACGTACAAGTGAGCTTCGCAAGATCCTCCATTAGAACCGTTTCTTAGGAATCGTATCGCTGCCATCGCTTTTACTAGCCGCCACCAGGAGCTACGCGAAGGTTCGAGACCGCTAGCTACGGCAGCATTGCACGCTGCGTCGACCGCACGCCGGAGCCAGTGCCGAAGCAAACCCGTCAGTTCTCAGCATACCCTCGAGGATCTCCCCCCACCAACAGGCCCCCAAAATGCGGCCGAACAAGGCGCTCGGCGCGCTTGTGAACGTTGCGCTATTACTCATTGGCCTGGGCCTGATCGGAGTCGCCCTGTGGCTGCTGCTGGCCGCCACCTACGGCGCGTGCCTGCTGCCCTACCAGGTGCCGCTCATCGCCGTGGGCGGCGCGCTGCTCGTCGCCGCGCTCGTCGGATTCTGTGGCTTGGCGTGCGAGTCGAACGCGCTCTCGTGCCTCTACCTCGTCGTCGCGCTCGTCGCCGTGCTCGCGTCGACGGCCTTTACCAGTGAGTGCTCGTCAGATGTTTTAGTCGCCGGAAGCAATGAGTATCCAGGATTCGGTCGTTGTCTGACGGAAGTGACTGCCTGAAACGAGTTCCTCTGCGTGCTCCCTTCGCATTCGCAACCCTTCTCGTTTTCGTTATCGACCATATCGTACTTTTCCCATCATAATCTGTTCTTTTCCGCTCCCTCAACGCTTTTCAAACCCCTATTGCAGTCTTCGCGTTCCTTGTAACGGGAGGAACACCGCTGCCTACAACGAGTCGCGGGCAGACGGTGTATGCGACGTGGGGCTTCTCGCCGTGGATGCAGGCGCAGGTGGGCAACGCCTCGTGGGCCGCCCTCCAGACATGCCTCGCCCAACGCCGCACGTGCGGCGACCTGCGCTCCTACGCCCCCGCCGTGCTCAACGGGCTGCTGCTGCCGCCTATCGAGGCCGGCTGTTGCATTCCGCCGCAAGGCTGCCTCAACCGAACGTTCAGGCCCACATACTACTCCTTCGCCGCACTCGACGGACCCTCCACGCCGCAACAGCAGCCATCTGCAGGCAACTCCCCCAATGACATCCCTGTCCACGCAGCAGCAGCAGCAGGCACCACTCCCCCCCACAGCAGCAGCAGCAGCCAGCAGAACTGCAGCGCGTTCAGCATAGAGCCGCAGGCGCTGTGCTACGCGTGCGAGTACTGCAAGGGCGGCTTCCTCGCGCAGCTGCACGCGCACTACGCCCTCGAGAAGTTCGTCAGCCTGGGGGCCTCAATCGCGGTGCTCTTGCTCTACCTCATGGCGTGCTGCGCTGCGTTCACAGGCCTGGATGACGACGAACCGGGGTTGGAGAAATCTACCGCTGCTGCTGCGGCTGCCGCCGCTGCGAGTAAGTTGCAGAAGAGTGGCACGATGAGCCGAGTGAATACTTTCACCGTAGCCCCTGGACAGTTTGAGCGGTCTCTGTCAGCTAAGGTGCCTGGCCAAGGGGTTGGGGTGGGGGCACTTGGAGGCGTGGCAGCAGGCGCGGCGATAGGGCAGTATGAGCGGTCGCTAACATACGTGGACAAGTCTCCAGGGCCCCTGGATAGGTCCCTCACTCAAGTTGAGAAAGCGGTGCCAAATCGGCCAAGTTATGCTGCACGTGAGACAAGAAGCCGGGAGGACACGCGTAGCCGCAGCAGCTATGCCGACGACTCTCGGAGCACCCACAGCTACACCGAGGATTTGAGAAGTTGCCGAAGCTCCAAGAGTTCCCGAAGCTCGAGAGGCTCGGAAAGAGGCAAGGAGGTCTTTGTGGTGGAGGTGGAGGATCGGGAAGGAGGGTACGGAATGCCGAAGCGGCGGGTAGTGCATGATGAGGCGATGTGGGAGGGCGATGAAGACATGGACTATGCATGGAGGGAAGAGATAATACAAGAGGAGGAGGCAGATTGGGAGGCGAGGGAGAGGGAGAGGGAGAGGGCAAGGGAAAGGGAGAGGGATCCGGGCATGGTGGTTGGAAGAAGCTACAGCAGCAAGAGCGGATCAGGCCAAAAGAGAGGAAGACGGTCGAGCCAAGAGAAGCCCAGTTCGGAAGTGCGAGGCAGGCAAGAGACAAGACATTCCAGGAGAAAAACTTGGGCAACCAATGGGAAAGAGTTGGAGGGTTCTCGCCTACGGCAAGAGGGGAGCCAGTCTGAGAGGGCTGCTTCAAGGAGAGACGAAAGGCCACTTGCACCCCCCAAGGTGTATGACTTGGAGAGTACCTATGGCGATGATAGCGGGTACGATGATGACAGCCGGTATGGCGATGGACGCCCAAGGCAACAGTTTGATGTCGAATCTGACATATATGGAGAGGAATACGACGATGATTCGTATGACGGGAGAGTTTGAAGCTGATCATAGCATGTATTCTGATCATAGCGGTTTCCATTACATGTATCATAATAAAAGGGGGGTCTTTCAGATGCTATCCATAATCTATAATGGCACTGTTTGACGTCTTCTGCTGCTAGTTTATGAAGCATAACGCGATTGTGACTAAACCGCGTCACTGTGGAGTTGACCTTCGCGTGTGCCTCCTGTTGGCCAATGGCGAGCAGCCACACCTCAGGCCCTGGCAGTGCGAGCTGCTCCTCCTGCCACTGCTGCTTGCACTGCTCTGTGCCTCACAACTGCATCCCGGCAGAGAGCGAACTGCACTGCAGCGAACAGTTGTTCGTCTGGTGCAGTCACTCTCGCCACCACCACCACCCTTCCCCGAGCCACCTGCCCATCGCCTCAACGCCACTTCCCGAGTGATCGGTCATTCCTGAATCACCGTCGTTCAACCGCCATCGCCTGCTGTACTTCGTCGCATTCCTCCCCGCACTGTAATTTCCTGAGCCTTGCGCATCCTGCAGTCTCCCTCCAGTCGTCTTTCGTCTTTCCTCCCTCGCTGCTCCTAACCCTGGCGACTGGCGCCCTCGGCAAGACGAGCCGTATGTAGACACATATAACTTTATTAGTGTGTAATAAGGTCCTAACGCGTGATGCTAGCCGCGCGAAGAAAGCTGCCATATTGACTAGCTTTTTCACGGCTCCTCAGTACTAGCAATCCAATAGAAATTGAACAACTTTTTCTATTGAAACAACGAATCCGAGTCATTCCTGATGTCGCGTTTCAACGTCGCGTGAAGAAACCTGTCCACCCTGGGTACCAATGCCAGAGCACACGGACTGTCAACAGCGCGATTTTGTCGTCTTCGTGAGGTTAGGCATTCTGCTCGCCTTCGTCAGCCCAGTGCGACGCCGTCGTCAGCCCAGCGCGAAGCCGTGACGCGGACTCGGTAACGTCGCGCCGAGCGAGGCCGTCGCGCGATTTCACCTGAAAGTTGAGAGTTGGTTGGACGGCGCGGCGAGGAGGGGAGAGGAGAGGCGAGGAGGCGCGATGGCGGGGAAGAAGAAGAAGGAGGGCGCGAAGCTGAGCGCCGTGTTCCACGCGTGCGAGTTCGCTGTCGCTCTCGCCGTCATCGCCGCCGCCCTATGGGCCATGATGAGGTGCGGTGACGAGTTGCGGTGATGAGTGGTGCATCACGGGGGATAACAGCACGAACCCAAAGCTAAGGACTCAAATTAACTTCTTCTCTCAAAATAATCCCCCCCCTCCCCTTTTCCCTCCCCCTCCTCCCCTTCCCCTCACCCCCCTCCCCCCCCCCACCCTTCCCCCCGGTCCCAGTCCGCCAGCCTCCTTCTGTCTGCTGGTGTACCAGGCGCCCATGCTGGTGGCGGGCGGCGTGCTGCTGCTGGCGGCGCTGGTGGGGCTCATGGGGCTGGCGTGCGACCACGGCGGGCTCAAGTGCCTGCACGTCACCCTCGCCATCCTCGCCCTTCTTGGCCTCCTCGCCTTCAGCAGTACGTGTGATAATCATCCTTTTCTGAGACGCCTCCTCCGCCCAGCTCTCCTCCCTCTTCTTCTCGATGCCTCCCCAGTTCCCTCCACTCCCTCCACTCCCTCCACTCCCTCCACTCCCTCCACTCCCTCCACTCCCTCCACTCCCTCCATTCCCTCTCCAACTCCCAGCACCCCCTAACACGTGCAGCGCATCTTCATCTTATATGTGCACTATGGAGTTGAGCCTTTTCCTCCCCCACCCACCTCCCCCCTCCTCCCCTTACCCCCTTCTTCTTCCCCTCCCCCCACCCCCCCCTTCCCCCCGTCCTTCCCCCCCCGCGCGCCAGTCTTTGCCTTCATCGTGACGGCAGGGGGCGCGTCCAGCAGCAGCCATGGGCAGACGGTGTACGAGCCCGTGGGCTTCTCCTCGTGGATGCAGCAGCAGCTGGGCTCGTGGTCCTCGTTACAAGCATGCCTCGCTAACACCGTGCACGTGTGCTCTGACCTCCGCCAGTACACACGGGACAAGCTGCAGGGGAAGCAGATTTCGCCGCTAGAGGTGAGCCATGCAGGTGCTCCCTCACACACGTGAGGAAGAGAATCGCACTCACAGGATGGGGTATGGATTGTACCACACTCACAGGATGGGGTATGGATTGTAGTCACAAGGGCCACCCTTCCCCGCGCCCTAACACCTTTCTCCCCCCCTCCCCCACCCCCTGCCCCGCCAGGCTGGTTGCTGCCTGCCCCCTGACGGCTGCCCCGTGAGCGTGGCTCAGAACAACGTCTACGCCTTCGCCTTCGCCCTCCCCAACGCCCCCACCGTCACCACCCCCACGCCCGCCAACCAGCCCGGCTGTAACGCCTTCAGCATCGACCCCGCCACGCTCTGCTACAGCTGCCCTCTCTGCCAGGGGGGGCTGTTAAATCTCCTGCAATCCAACCTCAAGATTCAGGCGTATGTGAGCACGGCAGCGGCAGCAGTGCTGCTAGTCCTCGGGCTCGCCATGTGCTGCGCCACATGCCAGGGCGCGGAGCCGCATGAACTGAGCGAGTCGGACGGGATCGCCCTGGCGAGAGCGCCCACGTTCGTGATGGTGGATCCCACGCTCGAGCGCACACTCACCCGGGTGAACACAGGCGTGGGGGGGGCGAGCTTCAAGCGAATCAACACCATGGCGAGTGCCGCCGGGGGAGGAGGGGGAGGGGCGCAGTTTGAGCGCACGATGAGCCGCGTGGACAAGGGCCTGGCGAATGGGCCGGGCGGTGCGAGCTTCCAGCGTGCTCTGACCTTCCAGAGCATGGCGAGCGCGGAGTACAAGCGGCAGATGAGCCACGTCAACCATGGGGGAGGAGGGGCGGGGGGCGAGGGGATGGGGGACGAGGAGGACGGGTATGAGAGGCCGATATTGAACCGGCAGAGAAGTAGAGTGGGTGCCGGTGGTGGGGATAGGTCTTCAGTCTTGGAGGAGGATGAGGATTATGATGGGAGGACGTACAACCGGCAGAGAAGCAGGGTTGGTGGTGGTGGTGGGAATAGATCATATGATGTGGGGGGAGATGAGGAGTATGAGCAACGGGGGCACTCGAGGCAGAGGAGCCGGGCGGGACGGAGCAACAGGTCCATGGGAGGAGATGAGGAGGAGGAAGACAGCCTGACGCGCAACCAGACATGGGGGTCCGTGAACAACCCTAGAGGCACACCTCCAGATAGGGGCGGGGCACGGACGCCTGGTAGAGGGGGAGGGGGGGGAGGAGGGGGAGGAGGGGAAGGAGCAGGGCGCGGGCCGTCCATGAGTCGTTCGCGGTCAGGACATCATAGAAGCAGCACATGGGGGGATAATGAGGACCCGGAGCAAGGGCAGGGGCCAGTGAGGAGGGTGGAGGTGGGGAAGAGCACCCCTAAGAGGAAGCAGAAGCCGAGGAATCAAGAAGCAGCATATGAGGATGATGACCAGTACCATGACGAGTACGTTGATTTGTATGACTAAGTACTGTGGCCTAAATTATTCCAATGTCGACCCACATTGCACATTTTGTTTGTATATGGAGACATTTCAGATTAGGTGTATCCCTAAGAGGCTGTAGATATTCAATAAATCACATTCGTGAACAATAGTTTGTCGTTTCTGTCAGGACCGCATCTGGCTGGACTTCCATCGTGATCACAACTGTCACTAGGCGCCGTCTACTGTAACGCGTAGACGAAAGAAACTTGTCCCTTGGCTCGCTGCTCGAGATGGTCCAGTCCAGCCCTTGACAGGGAGATCAAGGCTTGGCTTCGCTCGGTTGTGCGAGTTTCGCCACATCCCTGCTGCGACGCTCGCATGCTGCCGATCCGTCGTCAATTCGCAATCGGAGCAGTGAGCCCAGCCCGGCAGTGGCTGCTCGCTGCAGCCCAGCTCACCCAACTCAACCCAACGCCCCCATCACTCCCTCAGTCGCCCCGCATGAAAAGCGGAGCACTGGCGTGAGAAGCTCACTGTCGAGCAGGGAGATGAGAATTGTAGGGCTGGGTGGGGCAGTAAAATCTTGATTGAGACACATCGTCAGTCGTGGCGGTGTGAGGAGGGAAACGCATCGGTTTTGGTCGGTCACTGAGATCTCGAGTGGCGTCGCTGCTCTAGGAGCGAGTGCTTTCGTCACGCACGGCTCTCCTCGTCGCGCCGCGTCGTTCTTCTTAGGGCTGCATTACGACCCCTGCGACAGAAGGCGGCGACGATGGCGATGGACAGGTCGCTGTCGGCGGTGTCGCACAGCTCGATGCTGCTGCTGTCACTCGTGCTCCTCGGCACGTGCCTGTGGGCTATGCTCAGGTGAGCTTCTAGTCTAGCAATGTCGTTCCCTGCGCCGTCCCCTGCGCCGTCCCCTGCGCCGTTCCCTACGCCATCTTGATCACGGAGATCTAGACGATCGAGTCCGCCTCGTCTCTCCGCCGCGCGCCGATGAGCCACCCGCGCCTCGCCTTCCAGGCGTCTTCACTCGACTCAAACCTCACCGCCGCCTCTTCTTCCCAGGCGCCGCCGCTCGTCATCGTTGTGCTGCCGCATGTAATCCGCCTCCTGTGGTCCCCCCCATCCGCGCGCCCCTTTCCCCATCCGCGCGCCCCTTTCCCCATACGCGCGCCCCTCCCCCCTCCCCCTCCACCCCCCCCCCCCGCAGGCCCTGAGCCACTGCCTCATGGCGTTCCAGGCGCCGCTGGTGGTGATCGCGGCGGCGCTGCTTCATACCGCCTCTGCCCCCTTCTTTAATCCGCGCGCCCCCCCTCGCAGCACGCCCGTGAGCCACTGTCTCATGGCGTACCAGTTACCACTAGTGATAATCGCGGCGGTGCTGCTGCTCGCCGCCATCGTTGGGCTGCTGTCGCTCGCGTGCGACCACGGCGGGCTGGGCTGCCTGCACCTCTCGCTCGCGCTCGCCGCCATCCTCGCGCTCGTCGGCTACACCAGTACGTGCGGATACCGCCTTTAGAGAGGGACGGGGGGGAATGGGGGCCTTGTTGGGCTGGGCTGCCCGCACCTCTCGCTCGCCCTCGCGGGGATCCTCG